ACTTGAAGTCAGGAGTTTGAAACCAGGCTGGGCATTTTTCTGCTTCTGTGCAACCTTGCAGTTTACTTATAATTGATTTTGGGTTTTTTTCTTTTTTGCTCTTTAAAATTAGTTTTTGATGCAGTTTTTCAACTTTCTCTCACCAAGTTGTGCCAGTTTTGGAAATCTATTTCAAAATTTTTCTAGACATGAAAAAAAAGATGCTTAGAAGATTCAGAATTGTTTAAAACGGCAAAAAAAAAAAAAAAAAAGAAAAAAGAAAAAAAGATGGAGGGTGCCAATCGAGGTGGCTCACAGCTGTAATCCCAGCACTTTGGGAGGCCAAGGGGAGGATTGCTGGAGCTGAGGAGGTCAAGACCAGCCTGGGCAACATGGCAAAAACCTGTGTCTATAAAATACAAAATTAGCTGGGCGTAGCTGTGTGCACATATAGTCCCAGCCACTCAGGAGGCTGAGGTGGGAGGATCGCTTGAGCCTGGGAGGTTGAGGCTGTAGTGAGCCATGATTGTGCCACTGCATTTTAGCCTGAGCAACAGAATGAGACTCTTTCTCAAAAAATAAGCAACTAAATAAAATAAAATGGCAAAAAAAAAAAAAAAAAAAAAAAACGGAAACCATCTGAATTATGTTCAGAGTCTGGATTTTCCCAAGTGTATTTGACCTTAGAACTTTTGATTTGCGTTACATCTGTTAACACCCACACTTCAGAAAACACAGATTTTGCAGTTTAATTTCTCAAAGAATATGAAGTTTATGAAGCACTGTGTCTTGTACCCTGTTGTAGCTTCAGAAAATAGAACAGCTGACTGCACATAATAGCTGCTCACTAAATTGTGTTAAATAATGTATCGAATACTTTTCATTAGGCTTATTTGAAAATAGTCTCTGAAAATAGTTTGCAAAGTAGAGTGAAACAAGGGTTTTCATGTGCTGCTATGGAAAGTATAAATTGGTTAAAACTTTTGAAAAGCAGCTTGGCCTCATGTATCAGAGGATCTCAGCCAATTCTGGAAATCCATTTGGAAATTTTCTTAAATATGAAAAAAAAAATGACTGGGCATGGTGGTGTGCACCGGTAGTCTCAGCTACTTGGGAGGCTGATGCAGGAGGATTGCCTTAGTCCAGTAGCTCTCAGCTGTAGTGCACTATGCCGATCAGGTGTCCATGCTAAGTTACGCATCAATGTGGTGACGTCCCAGGAGCAGGGGACCACCAGGTTGCCTAAGGAGCGGTGAATCAGCCCAGGTTAGAAACGGAGTAGGTCAAAACTCCCATGCTTAGGCCAGACATTGTAGCTCACACTGGTAATCCCAGCACTTTGGGAGGTCGAAGAGGGCAGATCACCTGAGGCCAGGAGTTCAAGACCAGCCTGGCCAACACGGCAAAACCCCATCTCTACTAAAAATACAAAAACTAGCTGGATGTGGTGGCAGGCACCTGTAATCCCAGCTACTCTAGAGGCTGAGGTAGAAGAACAGCTTTAACCCAGGAGGCAGAGGCTGCAGTGAGCCGAGATTGCACCGCTGCATTCCATCCTGGGAGACAGAGCAAGACTCCACCTCAAAAATTAAAAATAAAATAAAATTCCCATGCTGATTATTAGTGGGACTCATGCCTGTGAATAGCCACTGTACTCCAGACTAGGCACCATAGCTGACAGACATCATCTCTTTTTTTTTTTAAAAAAAAAGGGAGGGGGCTGGGCGTGGTGGCTCACACCTGTAATCCCAGCACCTCGGGAGGCCAAGGCGGTGGGATTACAGGTGTGAGCCTGAGATCAGGAGTTGGAGACCAACCTGGCCAATCTGGTGAAACCCCATCTCTACTAAAAATGCAAAAAAAATTACCCGGGCATGGTGGCACGTGTCTGTAATCCCCCAGCTACTTGGGAGGTTGAGGCAGGAGAACCACTTGAACCCAGGAGGCAGAGGTTGCAGTGCGCCAAGATTGCACCATTGCACTCCAGTCTGGGCATCAAGAGCAAAACTCTGTCTCAAAAAAGAAAGAAAGAAAACAAATGTATGTCTAAATATGCTTACAAGATTCAGTATTGTTTAAAATGGCAAAAAAAAAAAAAAGAAAACCATCTAAATTATGTTCAAAAATCATAGAAAATTAAGTTGCAGAGTACTCATTTGATGGACTACCCTGCAGGCATTAAAATGACACTTAGAAACTTAGATTTTGGAAATACGCTTATAAGCATGAATGCATAACTCATATGTAATTTTGCGTCATTTTTTTCTTGCATTAACGAAAAAGGCAAAACACCAAATTGTATAAAGATTGTGAATCGTTATGTGTAATAAAAGCAAACAAAATGAAGAACTAACATAACCGGGTGTGGGGGTGTGCACTTGTAGTCCCAGCTACTCCAGAAGCTGAGATGGGAAGACTGCTTGAGCCCAGGAGTTGGAGACAAGCCTGGGCAACATAGTGAGACCCTCATCTCTTAAAAAAAATTTATTAGCCAGACTCGGTAGCAGGTGTCTATATGGCCGAGCTACTGGGGAGGCTAAGGTAGGAGGATCACTCGCACCTAGGAGGTCAAGGTTGCAGTGAGTCATGTTCACACGACTGCACTCCAGCCTAATGGTTTTGTTTTGTTTTGTTTTTTTCTCAAAAAAAAAAAAAAACACACACACTAAATGAATGAGTACCATTCTGTCAGGCAATTGTTCTAAATAGTTTACATATATGCTTTTTTATTTCTCCTAACGACCTATAGGCAGACACTATTATAATACTCATTTTATCGATAAGACAACTAAGCACAGAGAAGTTATATAATTGAGCCAAGGTCATGGAACTGATTGGGATTTAGGCCAGGGTAGTTCAGGCTACAGTCTAAGCAAATATTGAGAAACAAGACACCAAAATATTTACGACAGTTGCCTCTGAGTAGAAGAAAAGAGGACAATTACATTCTTCGTCTTTTCCACATTTTAAAAAGTTTTTAATGGGGCAGGTGTGGTGGCTCACACCTGTAATTCCAGCACTTTGGGAATTACAAGACAGGGCGGGGCAGAATCACTTGCTTCCGCTGCCTCTCCAACTCTCCAACCCAGATGCAGAAGTTGCAGTGAGTTGAAATCACGCTGCTGCACTCCAGCATGGGTGACAAAGCGAGACCTTGTCTAAAAAAATTTTAAAAAAAATTAACAATGAGAAAACTGCTCTCTAAAAGAGCAAAATAGTGAATTAATGTGTTTCTTTAATAAATCTGAGCAGAAAATTTTTTTTTAAAGTTGATTACAGAAGCCCCACTATTACAACCAGGAATACTGACCCTTGCTCTGCCAGCCAGTCTCCTCTCTGACAGAGGGGAAAATTCAATGGAGTTTGAATTCTAGAGAATAGGTTGAAGATAGGTTGTTTTTATGCATGCAGAGAAACTATCCAAGGCTGATTTCCAGTTCTCAATTTCAATATCAAATTTGCTCAAACCCCAGCTCTCCGATTTTAGGCTTGATGCTCAGATAGTCACTCTGCCCTCGCCATAATCAAGAATCTAGTCACCAGAATCCCACATACCCTCACCAACCAGCGGCTCAGTTCTATACTCAGGTGAGACGAGGGGGAAAGGAGCAGAATGGAAGGCCGCAGAGATTGTTGCTTTTGCTTGGCCAAACTTTAGTAAGGCTTCTTGTTATATGTAAAATTTTCTGTTCCACAAAAGAAGTAGCACTCGAATATAAATTTCCTCAGCAAGGCAATTTACTTCTATAGAAGCATGCGGTTTTCACAGAAGGAACAATGTCCAGCACACACCTGGACAGGGAGGGGAAGGGGTACTTATTCCTGATGGAGGTCACCACTGCTGCTGTGTCATTCCCTTGTTGCCTAGGGTTAGATCGCACAGTCTAGCCTAACTCCAATTGGCTATTTTAAAAGGAGCAGGGGTACAAGCTGGAGTGGCAGGTGGGTAGTTTGATGGGAAGAATGGTTACAGGCCAGAGGTCAAAGCAGGTGACCGGACTGAGTTGGGACAGAGCAGGGGACCAGGGGAGCAGATGTGAACTAGTGATTAGAACTGGTGGAAATGTTTGTTTACTGAAACTCCAAGGGAGTCAAACTTTAAAATGGAGAATTAAAGAATAAGAGAGCTGAACACACTGACACACTGATTCTTTGAAGAGAAACTTAGGGTTCACTATATCTAACATTCTGAACCTTCTCGTAGGCCTATCTATGCACCTCCTTGTAAAAATCCAGTTTTACCAAAACTGCTAAGTCACTTTAGCCAGAACCCCCAATTCCTGATAACTGATCATCCTGGATATCTGATCAGGGTCCTCATCTTTCACCATCCCCCAGGTGATGTCTGATCACCCTGGCCTGTCTTCTACAAGATTCCTTTAGGTCTGTTTAGCCAGAATCCCCCTTACACTTGTTTCCTCTTGGTAATTTTATATCCACTGACCTTCCCACTGCTTCTTGGCCATTATGGGAATTTATGAGGAGTTGAGCTCAATCTGTCTACTAACTCCAAGACTCAGTTGCACTGGCCCTATATCCATCGCTATGGTCCTGAATAAAGTCTTCCTTACCAACAAGCACCATTGAATAATGTTTTACTTAACAGTGGGCAGTCATGGCCCAGGTAAGAGGGACGTGATGGCTGCTCCTGGAGGGGCAAGGCTCCTGGGGGCTTTTTGTTTTGGTTTGGTTTTGTCTTTGTGTGCAACATGAGAAAAAGCCATTGATGCAGGCTTTAGCATGTTATGAAGGAAGTGTAAAGAAGCCAGTGACGCTGGTAATAACCGTGAAACTGAACAAATGCAACCATATTTACCTAACCGTAAATTTTAAAACTGGGGACAGCAAATCCATTCTACAGCGAGGGCCGCTTAGCCAGTAAGGATTTCATTTTCAGGTGCAGTCGAAGCCCTCTGGCTCCACCCCTAGGGTCTAGCCCTTACCACTGCTAAGAACTACAACTCCCAGCCGGAGAGAGGTCTCTGCGCATGCCGCCTGACGCCCTAAGACCTACACTTCCCAGAGAACCTAGCGGTTACGCTAACGTGCGCGTGCGCCCTTGTGCACCTCTCGCTTCCCACTCTGGTTTGACCTACAGCCGCCCGGGAGAAGATGGCCGCCCCAACAGTGCCCGGGCTCTCCCGGCAGGTGAGCGAAAGGTGGTCCGGAGCGCCAGTGGGAGGATCCCTCCTGGGGTGACCGGTACCAGACCCTCAGCGCGAGGGTGCGATGCTTCGGCTGGGGAAGTCTGGCAGTCTTGAAGGTTGCGGGGCTCGGCGACTGGAGGCGGCTCAGGGCGACCCAGTGTTTGTCCCCCGGGATGCTTACGGGGCAGTAGGTGCAGGGCTACTTGTGCCGTGACCTTGGCGTCCTCCGAGCACAGCCCTGGGAACTGCTAGCCTGAGAGGCGCCGGAGAGAGGGTCTGCGCTTCGCTGGATTCCTGGGAAGTGGCACGGCCTATTCCCTAAATCGGCTTTCTTTGCCATTGTGGTAAAACTTGTCAAGAGATCACTAGTAATGCTAAGGAATATTCGTAAAACACATTTCACAGTTTTGTAAAGAAAATGAGGCCGAAAAGTTTAAATGAGTCTTTGGCTGCTCAGCCAGTAAGAGGTAGAATTGCGATTTGAACCCACGGAGTCACCCAGAAGATGGAGTTTGAAAAAATTTTATGCTCTTTATACTGCATCTCGCCATGGTGCTTTACATATCATGACCCTTTCCTTGCATCTTAGGTAAATTTTATGTAAGCGTTAAAAAGTCTTCATCCTCACAAGCAGTTTTGATAAAACACATTCTATAGCTGAAAGTATTTGAAGGTGACCTGTGATCTGTGACCTGTGCGCTTGCAGTTGATTTTTAAACTGTGAATTTCAGCTCTGTCTTCTGATGAGCAGGAGACCATCTCTCAGATCTAGGGCGTCTTGCCAGATCAAACTCTGCGGCAGTACTCAAAAACTTTATCTTTATTTTCAGATAGCATTTGGATTCCGAGGAAGGTACATCTGTTGCAAATTATCTGCCTAAGGGTGTTGTAATAGAAACGCCAAATTTTTCGTTAAAGATTTTTGAAACATCCACTCCTTGGAAGTTAGTGTTTATCATACAGGTGCACTAGTCTCGGCCCATTCCTAGCAAACTAGGAGGTTAGTGGGGAGGTGATTTCCCAAGCAACTGGAGATAATCCTCACTGGGTAAGTTTACTCCTTAGTAATAAAAAGTAGCTCATCCTCTTGTAATATGTGATGGTACAAAGAGACAAAACTAATGATTTTAAGGTCATTTTAAAAGTTGTTTTGTTGTTACTCAGTTAAATGCAGAAATCCTTCAAGTAATCTTGTTTGATCTATTTTTCTTTATTGCTTTGAAGGTGCGATACTTCAGTACATCTGTGGTCAGACCATTTGCCAAGCTTGTGAGGGTATGTTAATTTATGTTCTTCTGTAATTATAAAGCACATGAAGGTGTGAGTCAAACAGCAGTACAGTTAGGGCATGGATTTTTGGGTAGTTACTATCTAAACGTTTTTGCACATCTTGGTTCCCAGAATGTGAGGTATGCGTAGGGTAGAGAAAGGAATGACGTTGAGTACTTGCTTTGTGACAAGTCTATGTGTAATCTTTAACTATGAGAACTTTTTTTTTAATTGTTTGTTTTTCCATTATCCCTCTAAAATAGGCAAGCTAGCATTTACTTACTCTTTTAATGAAAGAAACAGGTTTAACAAAGTGGCATACCCAAGTTACCACAGAAAGTTATTATAGGAGTTGATACTAAAATCTAGATACCGGACCAGGTGCGCTGGCTCACTCCTGTAATCCCAACACTTTGGGAGGCCGAGGCAGGCAAATCATGAGGTCAGGAGTTCAAGACCAGCCTGACTGACAAGGTGAAACCCCGTCTCTACTAAAAATGCAAAAAAATTAGCTAGGCATGGTAGCAGGCGCTTATAATCCCAGCTACTTGAGAGGCAGGAGAATTGCTTGAACCCAGGAGGCAGAGATTGCAGTGAGCCAAAATCACACCACTGCACTCCAGCCCAAGCAACAGTGTGAGACTCCATCTAAAAAAAAAAAAATCAAGGTACCTTGGTTTCTAATGTAATTCTGTTGCAAATCTCCATGTTCCATTCTTGTAAGGACTATTCATACTCTTTACACCCTTTCTCTCCACTAAGCCCCCAAGGAGGCTCACTATTTCTGAGAGTTGCCGGTCCCTTTCTTTTCAAACCAGTAGTCCAGTTGCCCCAGATAAAGAAGACTATTACTGACACATAGTAAATGAAGTACCCCAGGAGGCCTCCAGAAATGACACATGGCTAACAGCTGGTAGCAGCCCTGTTGGAACATGAAGTCTGACTCCATTTCTGTGGGTTATTTGGAAATTCTTTATTTGATTAAAGACAGTTCATGTGTGATAGAGAATTGATTCAACTGTCAGCGAGCAGGAACTTCTCAAAGATGTGCTGGGCCATCTAGCCTACCCACACTTTACCCCTACCAAATCAACAGTTAGCCAATCCTCCCCTTGGAAAAAGATAATATGAGATCTATGTTCTTAATGAACCCACATCAGGTGAAATTTAGGAAAATAATTATTATGTCCTGTCATTACCAGCCCCAAATCTCTCAAATTAAATGATCGAAATCATCTTATCCTTCATGTGAGAGCTTAAAATGTCATAACAGTGTTAGGGAGTAACTGGTCTTCCCATTTTACAAAAGGGGAAACTGAGGCCCTGGGAAAATATACCTAGGGTTACTCAGCTTAGTCTTAAAGCTGGACTGGAACTAAATCTTTCTTATCTAAGCCTGAGCTTTCCCACTACAACCATACAACACCACTAAGAACATGTAGTCATACATCAGTGGTAGAAAAAAAGCCTACAGTTTATTGTGAAAAATAATGCAAGCATTAGGTTTTTTTGTGAATTGTTAAAGGGCTCTGTTAAATTGAACATCAATGGGGAGGCTATGTAAGGGAAAATGTATAGTGTTGATATGAAATGTATAAAAGTATACTTATATGTTTCATAAACACCTGTTTTCCTAGATCTAGCATGCTCAAAACTGTCTTATCAGTGTTCACAATCTACCATACTTGAAACTAAATAGTTACTGAGTTCAAAGGAAACATAAGCTCATCTGAAAATTAAAGTGCAAGTAATGATAAAGGTAGGTAAACCTGGAAGGGACTTTAGAGACTGCCTACTTCAGCCCCTTATTTTACAGTTGAGGAATTGGAGGCTCAAAGATTGAGTGACCTGACCAAGGAAACATCCCTAATTTACTTGCAAATTACTGTTTAGGACAGCTGTTGGAAGACATATTTAAACTGTTTGTGTTAAAGAGATATATTTTTTAAAATATGATTTTGAATTCTGCTCTTTAGTGTATACTATTGTCTTAACTGTTTTTCCTTTTTCCTTCCTCTCCTATCCCACCTTTTTTTTAAAGCCTCCTGTTCAGGTATACGGTGTTGAAGGTCGCTATGCCACGGCTCTTTATTCTGCTGCATCAAAACAGAAAAAGCTGGAGCAAGTAGAAAAGGAGTTGTTGAGAGTAGCAGTAAGTAGCTTTCCTATTCATTACATATTAAGTTCCTCTTTGTGTGTTTTTTCCTTTCATTATTTGACCATGACTCCCTAATGAGGTATCCTACAAGAAAAAGAACTGGGAAAAAGCAATGTAAACATGTTTTTAGTAATAATATTGAGTGTTTATTATTCTGAAACTTATATCGAAAGAACAAACAGATACATAGTATTAGGAACCAAGATTTAGGGCTAAGAAAAGATAGAAATATAAAAATAAAAGATGATAATTTAGGAAAATCGCTATTTCAGAAGAGAATTTAAAAGCCACCTTTAAAAATCTATGATTATGGCTTGGGTCTTTAGAATATATTGTGATTTGGTTTTACTGAGAATTTGTTTTCATGAAACCTTTCTCTCGGGTTCTAAATACCATATTCTATGCTTATTGAATCAGAAGAGTCTCCAGTATGTCTTACAAGTTTTCATTTGGTAGAGATGCCTTTGCAGTTGCCAGAACCCCAGAAGTAACCATGTAGACCTTTTCATTATTTCGGTAAATTTTATTCCCAAAATGTGAGGGAAGAATGACAGGGTGAAGCACGCTGGGCAGCAGCATTGATAAAGGGGCGTGGGCTTCCCATGGTAACAGAGGACTCGGAGGCAAAGACTGTGTGGCTGCTGCAGGATGTTTTTTACTTTTCTTTTTTTTCACGTGCAAAGCAGAATAAATAAACTGTATTAACAGAGGCCTGCGTTGTAACTGAATAGGAGAATGTCTGCTTTTGTTTTCACTGAATTTTCTAGTTAACAACTTTCTACACGTTCTGTTGCTTCCCTCTTTGATTTTCTAGCTGCCACCACTGGCAATATGGTCTGCATTAGAAAAGGTGAGGGATATAGTCTAGCATATAGTCTCTTCAGAGAAATTTTGCTTCTTTCTTGCTTTTAAGATTCTTGATTCTTGGCCAGGCGCGGTGGCACACGCCTATAATCCTAGCACTTTGGGAAGCCAAGGCGGGTGGATTGCCTGAGCTCAGGAGTTCAAGATCAGCCTGGGCAACATGGAGAAACCCTTTCTCTACTAAAATACAAAATATTAGCCGGGCATGGCGATGTGCACCTGTAATCCCAGCTACTTGGGAGGCTGAGGCAGGAGAATTGCTGGAACCCGGGAGGCAGAGGTTGCAGTGAGCTGAGATCACACCACTGCACGCTAGCTTGGGCGATAGAGCAAGACTTTGTCTGAAGAGAGAAAAAAAAAAGATACTTCATTCTTTAATTCATATATCTGTAAGTTTTTACTGTTTATGTTCTATATTTGTCATTGTATATATATTCAATAAGTATTACTATTCTGTACTGTTTATATTTTATTCATTTTTCACTTGAGCATCTGTTGGAACTTTCATCTTCACAGACAGAATAATTTTAGCTCCATATTCCTTCCTTTAACCATTTATCTCTGCTTAGCTGGTGAGATAAACTCTTAATAATTCTCACAGAGCCCAGGGGGTCCAGCCCTATTGTTGGGGACATTTGAGGGAAGGGCCTGCAGGAGCAGTTGGGGTCTCACAGGCATTTTTGGAGGTGATGGTTATTGTCTGCTGCTTGTTGGTGTGCCCATTTTAAACGCAAATAGTCGGGTTTACGATGGAGAGAATGAGTTGGATTGCGGACATTAGAATGGAGTTTGTCTGAAGCCTGAAAGTCAAGACGTGGAGAAAACGGGAGGCAATTACCTTAAGACTCTTTTATAAATGAAAATCAGCAATGTTTTGGCACTAAGAGGGAAGGATAATACAAGCCTCATACTAACCGTCCTCTGGACGATGCAGGAGACACAGATAAACATAAAAAACTAGGTAACCTACATTCCAGAATGCTTTAAATCTATATATGCCTGCATTTTTTTATGGAAAAACGTCATTTCTATGGGGTCACTCAAGTGGAAATGTTAGCATGGGATGATAATATCTGACCAGTATCCTGGGTCAGAGACAGTTAGGATTCTGGCCAGGAGCCTGGGAGGAGGTGCTAGGAGAGTAATTGAAAGGCATAGAGGGGTGAGTTAACTGAAGGTGCTTGACTGGAAACTGCCATTGCTGGTTTGTGGGAACCTGGAATAACATGTTGGAAGCGGCACTTGGTCACTGAATTCAGACATTTGTGACAACGAAACGAGAAGGGGGTTGTTCCCCGTGATGGTTATGCTCCTGTTTTTTTGTCCACTCTGCCTCTCAGACCCTTCGGGGTTGCTGTGGCAGCATCAGAGCTCTCGCAGAATCTGCTGGGTTCCCTGGAGCCCTGTAAGAGGCAGGGCCCCTCCGCGGGAACGGTGAGGAGGCCTCTGCAGTCAGAGCACATTTTTTAGGTCTGCACTCTAGAAACAGCACTGCTAGAAAAGCCAGACTGTTACTCTCTTAAATACGTTAAAATATGCAGTCAAATGAAGTTTTGTCCTGGTTAGTGTTTTATAAATCTTTCTTGAAAAGCAAAAAAATTTAAGAAACTTCACATTTTTAAACTTTTTTGAGGAACATCATTCTATCCTTATAAAATCCTGGTGTAGTCAAGTGTATTCTGAAAGGCAGTCAAAAAATTATTTGATTATCACCTTTTTTTCATATATTCTTTGGCAGTGCCAATTTCATTCATAAGAAAGTGTGTGCATGGCCGGGCACAGTGGCTCATGCCTGTAATCCCAGCACTTTGGGAGGCTGAGGTGGTGGATCACTTAAGGTCAGGAGTTCAAGACCAACCTGGCCAACATGGCAAAACCCCATCTCTACTAAAAATACAAAAATTAGCCAGGCATGGTGGCACGCACCTGTATTCCCAGTTACTCGGAGGGCTGAGGCAAGAGAATCACTTGAACCTAGGAGGCAGAGGTTGCAGTGAGCCAGGATTTCCCCACTGCACTCCAGCCTGGGCAACAAAGTGACACTTTGTCTCCAAAAAAGAAAGTATGTGCATGACACATCCTTCATTTGTGCTCTGAAAAATTTAAGAAATTATTTTTTGAAACTTTCAGCAAATCCTGAAGGAACCCAAAGTGGCTGCTTCTGTTTTGAATCCCTATGTGAAGCATTCCGTTAAAGTGAAAAGCCTAAGTGACATCGTAGCAAAAGAGAGGTTCTCTCCCCTCACGACCAACCTGATCAGTGAGTATGAGAACTTCTTCGTTTGAGGTGTCTTGAAACCGTGATTGGAAATGTGGTCCATGGACCGTGGGCATCAGTATCACTTGGGAGCCTGTTGGCAGTGAAGCATCCCAGGCCTCACAGCAACCTGCTGAATCGGAGTCTGCATCTTAACCAGCTCCTTAAGTGAATTGTTTGCACGTTAAAGTGTGAGGGGCACTGTCTAAAGGATACTGGGACCTAAGCATGTCTAATTGAATATTCAGTAGTTTCAGCCATGGAGGCGGCCAATGTGATACCTACCAAGAAAGCCACAGGTTTGTGGCCTGTGGCTGTACCTTGATCCTTAGAAACATTTGCATTCTCAGATACATTTGGACTGCTTTTCTTTTTCTTTTTCCTTTTTTTCTTTTTTTTTTTTTTTAAGACGCAGTCTTTTTCACTCAGGCTGGAGTGCAGGGGCACAGTCTCAGCTCAGTGTAGCCTCAATCTCCCAGGCTCAAGCCATCTTCCCACCTCAGCCTCCCTAGTAGCTGGGAATACAGCACACACCACCACGCCCAGCTAATTTTTTGTATTTTTTGTAGAGATGGGGTTTCTCCATGTCACCCAGCCTGGTCTTGAACTCCTGGGCTCAAGCCATCTGCCTGCCTTGGCTTCCCAAAGTGCTGGGATTACAGGCGTGAGCCGCTCCGCAGCTGGGGTTGCTTCTCAGATCCTCATAGCCAGCTCAAAAGTTCCAGAGAAAGTGTATTCATGTTACCATCTTTGAATTTGTAGCCAACGTTATAATCTGTAACCTAAATATGAAAATCAGATTGCAAGCTAAGTATAAGAAGTCTGTTGCAGATCTGTATGGGTGAGAACTCCCCTTACCTACTAATTTGAATCCTTGTCAGTATGGTCTCTTCAAAAATTAAATTAAATTAAATTAAATTGGATATGCATTTTAAATAACAAGTTGTATCTTCTCCATTCATTCTTTTTTTTTCTTTTAATTTAGACTGGTGGTGTCCCTCTCTTGTCACCCAGGCTGGAGTGCAGTGGCACAGTCTCGCCTCACTGCAACGTCTGCCTACTGGGCTTAAGTGCTCCTTCTGCCTCAGCCTCCTGAGTAGCTGGGACTATAGGCATGTGCCACCACACCCACCTAATTTTTGTGGGTCTTTTTGTAGAGACAGGGTTTCACCGTGTTACCCAGGCTGGTCTCAAACTCCTGGACTCAAGGGATCTGCCCACCTCAGCCTCCCAAAGTTCTGGGATTACAGGCATGAGCCACTACACTCAGCCTCCATTCACATTCTTAAAGGACATTGAATATACTATGACTTTTAAGAGACGAGATCTTACTCTGTCACCCATGCTGGGGTCAAGCAATCTTCCTGCCTCAGCTGCCTGAGTGGCTGGGGCTATAGACACGTACCACCAAGCCCTAATGTTTTTTGTAGAGACAGGGTCTCACTATGTTGGCCGGTCTTGAACTCATGGCCTCAAGCAATCCTCACACCTCAGCTTCCAGTAGTTGCGATTATAGGCATGCACCACTCAATATGGTGTTCTAAGGCCAGAAATCTAAGTTTGTGTTTGGGGTTAAGTATACAGCTTCACGAATAACTTGTTCAAGTGAGTTTCATGTTACTGAGACACCTTCACTTCGCCAGATTTGCTTGCTGAAAATGGTCGCTTAAACAATACCCAAGGAATTGTTTCTGCCTTTTCTACCATGATGAGTGTCCACCGCGGAGAGGTGCCTTGCACAGTGACCACTGCATCTGTAAGTAACGGGTTGTTGCTGCTGTGTTTGCCCTGATGTTACGTGCGTCGCCTTTTGCAGAAAAGGGAAAAAACAAGGTAAAATCAGGAAATTGGGAAAAGTAACTTGTCAGCTGAGATGTTTGCTTCATTTTTATATCAGCTTCTGTAACCCTTTGCTTTTGAAACGTCAGCATATATCTTACCAGTGCTTCTGTAACCAGAAGCATGAGGCCTGGGTTAAATGTAACAACATAAAAATGTGTTAGAAAAGAGTAGTTTAGACTTACCACTTGAAGTAGTTTACTGAAAGTGCAATGGTACAACCTCGGCTCACTGAAATCTCTGCCTCCTGGGTTCAAGTAATTCTCCTGCCTCAGCCTCCCGAGTAGCTGGGATTACAGGTGCCTACCACCACACCAGGCTAATTTTTTTTTCTTTGAGACAGAGTCTCACTCTGTCACCCAGGCTGGAGTGCCATGGCGTGATCTCAGCTCACTGCAGCCTCTGCCTCCCAGGTTAAAGCAAGTCTTCTGCCTCAGTCTCCTGAAAAACTGGGATTACAGATGCGCGCCACCATACCCAGCTAATTTTATTTATTTTATTTTATTTTATTTTATTTTGAGAAGGAGTCTTGCTCTGTCACCAGTCTGGAGCGCAGTGGTGTGATCTCGGCCCACTGCACCTTCTGCCTCCTGGGTACAAGCGATTCTCCTGCCTTAGCCTCCCAAAGAGCTGGGATTACAGGCACGCACCACCACGCCCAGGTAATTTTTGTATTTTAGTAGAGATGGGGTTTCACCATATTGGCCAGGTTGGTCTCAGTCTCCTGACCTGGTGATCCACCCATCTCAGCCTCCCAAAGTGCTGGGATTACAGGCGTGAGCCAAGGCACCCAACCAATTTTTATATTTTCAGTAGAGACGGTTTCACCATGTTGGTCAAGCTGGTCTCGAACTCCTGACCTCAGGCGATCTGCCCGCCTCAGCCTTCCAAAGTGCTGGGATTATAGGCAGGAGCCACCACACCCAGCCTGAGTTTATTTTTTTGAGACAGAGTCTCACCTTGTCAGCCAGGCTGGAGTGCAGTGGCACAGTCACACCTCACTGCAGCCTCAACCTCCTGGGCTCAGGTGATCCTCCTGCCTCAGCCTCCTGAGTAGCTGGGACTACAGGTATACCCCCACCACACCCAGCTAATTGTTTGGTATTTTTGTAGAGGTGAGATTTTGCTGTGTTCCCCAGGCTTGTCTCAAACTTCTGGGCTCAAGTGATCCACCTGCCTTGGCCACCTACAGTGCTGGGAGTAGAGGTGTAAGCTGCCACACCCGGCCTGAAACTAGAGTTACTAATCTTTCCTCTTTTGTGGTGGCAAATGGGAAGGAATAGAGCAGATGGGCCTTTGTATCTTTTTGACTTGATAGAGTGGGCTATAATGGGCTACCGTTTATTGAACCCTACTCTATGCTGAGTACTTCATTATTTTATACACTATCAAAAGATTCATGTGAGATAGAAGTGTAATTATCCCCATTTTACAGATGAGGAAACTGAATGCAGGGAAATGAAGTCGCTTACCCAAGGTCATTATGAGGTAGGACTAGAATTTGAACACAGGCCTCTTAGAAGTCCATATTCCTTACGCTACACTGCATTGCTCCCTAGAATTACTTTTGTTGTTGTCTTAAATATGTGTTTTCTTCCCTGTGTAGCTCAGTCAAATGTAACATAGCCCACTCTACAGGAAAACAGGAGAGTGTGGTAGATGTACTTGGGATTCATCGCATCTGACCTCATCTAGATTAATAATTCTGTCATTGGCTGGGTGCAGTGGCTCACGCCTATAAATCCCAGCACTTGGGAGGCCAAGGCAGGTGAATCACAAGGTCAAGAGATTGAGACCATAGGTGAAGCCCCATCTCTACCAAAATACAAAAATTGGCCAGGTATGGTGGCTTGCACCTGTAATCCCAGCTACTCAGGAGGCTGAGGCAAGAGAACTGCTTGAACCCAGGAGGCAGAGGTTGCAGTGAGCCGAGATAATGCCACTGCAATCCAGCCTGGCAACAAAGCAAGACCCTGTCTCAAAAAAAAAAAAGTAGTTCTAGCATTGAAAGGACACTCTGCCTTTCCAGTTAGCACCGTTTCAAGGAGAACCATCCTAGTACATCATACTTATTTGCACACTTGTAGGTCAGTAGTTGGTGCCCCCAAAACATGTACCTGGCTACAGTCATTTTAGCTCAGACATAGGCAGGGCTCCCTCTGTGGCCGCACTGGGGATCCCTAACAGTGTGGCACAGGTTAGGCATTCACTTGCCCCCCGGTCAGCCATCAGGAAGTGCTGGTGCAGGACATTCTTCAGTGCATACAAGGACATGATTTTCTTTTTTTTTTTTTTTTTTTTTGAGACTGAGTCTCACTCTCCACCCAGGCTGGAGTGCAGTGGCACAGTCTTGGCTCACTACAACCTCCACCTCCCAGGTTCAAGTGATTCTTATGCCTCAGCCTCCCGGGTAGCTGGGATTTTAGGCACCCTCCTCCATGCCCAGCTAATTTTTTATATTTTCAGTAGAGATGAGGTTTCACCACATTGGCCAGGCTGGTCTCAAACTCTTGACCTCAAACCATCCACCTGCCTCGGCCTCCCAAAGTGCTGGGACCACAGACATGAGCCACCGCACCCGGCCAGAAGGACATGGTTTTCTTTTAAAGGATGCTTATTTTTGCAAAAGATCTTAGAACCAACTGTTACTAATGCTTTTGATGTTGATACCACTGGGTGTATAAGTCTGTACTGTATGGAAAAAATTACACCTTACTGAGTGACAAGGAGCACAGGCTTTAGAAATACACAGACCAATTTCAAATATTGGGGTTAGTCCTCACTTGCTGATGTGACCTCAGGTGAGTTTCCTAACTGCTCTGATCCTCGGTTCCCTCATCTGTAAAATGGGAATCATAACCGCTGGCTCCCGGGGTTGCCCACATTAAGGGAGATAGTAGGTGTGAAATGCCTGGCGTAGTCAGGCACCTGGCAGTTGGTACATGTCTCGGTGGAGGGTGTGTATGTTTCAGAATTCCGTAACCTTGCAGTCTCAGCAAATACTGTTTTGAACTTGAATAGACTTTGGCCGTCACCACCCCATGCCAAAAAAAAAGGATATTGTTAGATCTTTACAAAGAAACAAAATTTTTTTGCTAAAAAATTTCTTTAGGCTCTTGGAGGAGAGGAGGTAGGATTTATGACAAGTTAAAAAAGGTCTTTGCAGCAGGGCATGGTGGCTTGGGCTTGTAATCCCAGCGTTTTGGGAGACTCAACTGGGTGGATCACTTGAGGCCAGGAGTTCAAGACCAGCCTGGCCAACATGGTAAAACCCTGTTTCTACTAAAAGTATAAAAATTAGCCAGGTGTGGTGGCATGCGCCTGTAATCCCAGCTACTTGGAAGGCTGAGGCAGAAGAATCACTTGAACCCGGGAGCCAGAGGCTGCAGTGAGCCGAGATCTCACCACTGTATTCTAGCCTGGGTAACAGAGCAAGACTCGGTCTCCAAAAAAAACAGGGGATGGGAGGTAGAGGGGGCACCTTTGCTTCAACAGCTTTTTTTCATTTTCACCATTATACTACCAGCTAACCAGGAGTAGCAGTTGGGGCTGAGAGGAAAATGCAGTCTGGACATTGAGGGTGCTTGCTCTAAAGTGGATTATGGAGCTGAGCTGAAAAGCCAGCTGCTCCAGGTTCTCTCCCTGGGGTTCAGAGGGTGGAGTTGGCCTGCCAGAGCTCCAGGGAACCGTGGGTGCAGGGAGATGACAGCCAGTGGAGCTCAAGAAACATAAAGATGTAAAACCAGGTGAAAATGGCAACTTTTCACCCAAGGACATGATAGGGACATGTCGTGAGCCTGGGGCTGCACCCAGGAGGGGCCTTATCCTCCTGCATTGATGGGGCTGCATCTTCAAACATTATCGACTTTAGAGCTTTTCCTCCTTCGTTCGACGTTGTTCTGCTAGGACACGGAGCAGAGACAGGGAGTGGCGTTTAGGGGCCGTCCATGAACCACCGAGTGGGAGCTGCCCGGGTGATGCTGTGAGGCAGGACCTTCCCGTGCCCCCTGAACCACCAGCGCAAACAGGGAATGCGTGCTGCTGTGCCGCTCCACGAGGGTCCCGGGTAGCTGGTGGAGGAGCTCACAGGCCTGTCTTGGTGATGTGGGCCTGGTGTGTTTTTACCATGGAAGTTTCTATTTTGCTTTATCTAAATTGAAAGGATGGTTTTTGTCTTTCAGCCTTTAGAAGAAGCCACACTCTCTGAATTAAAAACAGTCCTGAAGAGCTTCCTAAGTCAAGGCCAGATACTGAAATTGGAGGTTAAGGTGGGTTTTAAATTATTTATGGTATGTTTCCTCAGGTTATTTTAAATTTAAAATGGCTACAGAAAGTATTAATGAAATATTAGATCTGATTCTGTACTAATTTTTTTGTAGTTAAAATTTTGTATTTATTTTAAATGTCAATGATTACCTGACTCCATGCAGTGTTACTTTTGCCTTTTCCTAGGTGTGATTATAACATCTCACATTTGTGTGGCACATTTAGCCTTTCAAAGCACTTTTTCATGCGTCTCATTTGATTAGTGTGTTTCCACATTTCCAATCTCTTTTCCTTTGTAGACTGATCCGTCAATCATGGGTGGAATGATTGTGCGCATTGGAGAGAAATATGTTGACATGTCTGCCAAGACCAAGATTCAGAAGCTGAGCAAGGCTATGCGGGAGGTTATCTGAAAGTGGTGTTCTTCTGCCATCAGTGAAAATTCTTAAACTTGGAGCAACAATAAAAAGCTTCCAGAACAGACCATCGTATGTTCACTATCTTTTAAAGTCGAATGTCGAAGGGTTTGCTTTTATGTCTTTCTTTTGGTATCCCCTGAGTATAAAGGTCAAAAAGCCCTTTTGGCCTAGAGAATTTGAGTAGACTATTTTTAGGAATGGATTATTTAGACATGGCACCTAGCACATGGTCACTCAGCAAAGTCTGTCTGGTACTGCCTGCCGAAATCCCATGTTTTCAATGGATTGCTCAGAACTCCTGGTTCCTGCTAGATCGTCGGATCTGTGCTCGCTCCGCCAGTCCAACAGGGAGGCCTCTTTCTAATAAAATAACCTTAGGCCTGACATGAACACACCTTGTCGTAGGCTGCTCTGTAGCTTTCAGGGCCATTTCATATACCTCTTAAGCTTCATGACAGCCTTGTCATACGGGTGGGACAGACATCAGCCCACTTTACAAATGAGGAAAGCGATTGAGGGTCTCAGAGTCACCTGTGTAGACAGCTGGTCGCCAGGCTCTGGAGCCCCTGTTTGTCCCACTGTACGACTGACAGCACGCCCTGACACATTGCTGGAGCAAACAGGCAAAGGTCATCGTAGGTAGGTCCCCTGCCCCTTCCCGTTTTGTCCCTAAGATGTTCCCAATTCTCCTCTTAACCAAAACCAGTTCCCCGGTCAGCTCTCCGCCTACATTTTACCTTTTGGCCTCTAGAGAAAGTAGGAGTTCCCCAGACAACAGCCCACTCAGGCACCTGTTGCCTAGTCACCCTCCAGGAGCTTTGGGCCAACAAACCAATTCTCTTCCCAGAACTGGCCCTGGTTGGGCAGGGACAGGACCATTGCAGCAAGGAAGTGCTAAGGAGCAATTATATGGCCCAAGGCTACTCCCTGCATTCTAGTGCTGGGACCAGCATGCCCTCCACGTGGCACAATACTCCTGGCTCTCGTGCTGGGCTTCAATTCCAGCTTCCTCCTGGCAAAGCTTTTACTACATCACCTAACATAACCAGCAGAGACACTATGTGGCCCCTCAACTTCTCCAGGAACCAGGAGTGCTGAGGCTGCTGGTTGGCCTGAAGTCCGTTCACCTACCTTTTGGGTGGGCCTAGTGCTATCAGCTAAAGACTGTTTTTGAACCTCTGGTAGTACCTTAATGTGATGCTGAGTTGTAGCGAATGGGAGACGAGAGGAAGTGATGTGTGCCTTCCTGGACTGCCCTCATGTCCCTCTGGCTAGATGCAGACAAGATGGCAAGCCATGCCAAGGGCAAAGCCACCCTGCCAGGTCTGACCGCTGCCCTGAGCGGTTAAACATAATGAAGAAATAGACCTCTCACCGAAGCCACGGGACATTGAGCTCCGTCTCCGCAGCTGAGTGCAACCTAGCCACAACCACGTTGCAGGTTCCACCGACGCTGCCTGCTCCTGCCTGCAGTGAGGCCGGCTCTGCACAAGGTGGCGTCATACACAGTCAGCTCCTGCAGACACATGACCGCCAGTGGACAAACTGTCTGCTAGAGCCTCATGCTGCTGAGTCCGCCCAAATCTTTCAAACTCAGCAGCCTTCCTGTTGATCAAATATATAATCTTGGGGAATGATGAGGCGCTTCCTATGTCGCCTTACAGGGTCACCAGAGAGAACCCAGAGATCTGTGTACAATGATCTGTTTTGTTTTGTTTTTTGAGACAGCCTCTGTCACCCAGGCTGGAGTGTGGGGGCGCGACCACGGCTCACTGGGACCTCAACCTCACCCTGGGCTCAAGCCATCCTCCTGCCTCAGCCTCCCGAGTAGCTGGAACTACAGGCGGTACCACCACAGCCAGCTAGTTTTAGTATTTTTAGTAGAGATGGAGTCTTGCCATGATGCTCAGACTGGTTTTTAACTCTGAGGCTCAAGAAATCCACTGGCCTTGGCCTCCCAAAGTGCTGGAATTATAGGCATGAGCCGCTGTACCCAGGCTACAATTATTTTCTTCACAATTTTTTTTTAAATCACAATGAAAATTTTTTGTTTTTTGGGGTTTTTTTTGTTTGTTTTTTATTTTTTGGTTTTGAGACAGAGTCTCGTACTGTTGCCCAGGCTGGAGTGCAATGGTGCGATCTCGGCTCACTGCAACCTCCACCTCCCGAGTTCAAGCGATTCTCCTGCCTCAGCCTCCTGAGTAGCTGGGACTACACGGCGCATGCCACCACTTCCAGCTAATTTTTTGTATTTTTTTAGTACAGACGGGTTTCACTATGTTGGCCAGGCTGGTTTCGAACTCCTGACCTCATGATCCGCCCCCGCCTCAGCCTCCCAAAGTGTTGGGATTACAGGCGTGAGCCACTGTGCCCAGCCAAGGTGAAAGTTTTACTGTACCTTGTCTATGACATGTTTTTGATGCAAATTAGCTATTAAATAATACAAGAAGCCAGGCACGGCCTGGGCAACAGAGCAAGACTCCATCTCATAAATAAATACATAAATAGTAAAAGAGTATTTAAAATGCACACACACAGAAATGATACAGAAATGAAGTACATCGCCAGGCGCGGTGGCTCAAGCCTGTAATCCCAGCACTTTGGGAGGCCGAGGCGGGTGGATCATGAGGTCAAGAGATCAAGACCATCCTGATCAACATAGTGAAACCCCGTCTCTACTAAAAATACAAAAAAAATAGCTGGGCGTGGTGGCACATGCCTGTAATCCCAGCTACTCAGGAGGCTGAGGCAGGAGAATTGCCTGAGCCCAGGAGGCGGAGGTTGCAGTGAGCCGAGATGGTGCCATTGCACTCCAGCCTGGGTAACAGGAGTGAAACTCCGTCTCAAAAAAAAAAAAAAGAAATGAAGTACATCAAAACTTTAACCTTTATTTTTGTGTAGAAAAACATCTCCATTAAGTGAGTTTATTTCTTTTTTCTTTCCTTGCTGAATTTTCTGCATTAACAAGTATTAACTTCTGTAATGAGAAGAAAAATTAAATATTTGAGAATAAATATTCCTTAATTATGCTGGCTACTAACCATGGTTAAATAGTTATTAATTACATGTTTTCTACTGGTGATTCAACCTATTCTCTATGCTATGTGAGTGGGGCTTCATCAGACTCAGAGAGAACTAGGTATAGTTTGGGAAAGTTAATTATTGCATTTGTTTTTAATAGCATTTAGCTTTTATTTTTAGGACAGGCTCTCACTCTGTCACCCAGACTGGAGTGCAGTGGCCCAATCATGGCTTACTGCAGCCTTGACCTCCTGGACTCAGGAGAACCTCCTGCCTCAGCCTCCCGAGTAGCTGGGACCACAAGCATGTGCCACCATGCCTGGCTAATTTTTTATTTTTTGTAGAGACAAGGTCTCGCTATGTTGCTCAGGCTGGTCTTGAACTTCTGGTTGCAGGTGATCCTGCCTCAGCCTCCCAAAGCACTGGGATTACAGGTGTGAGCCACCATGTCCAGCCTTAACTTATTTTTAAAACAACCAAGAAAATGGCATAAGATTTTTATGTTTTTCAAAAATGGGACATACTAGTTTCAAAAAGGCAAAGACACACTGCTTTAGGGTCAATTTTTTAAAATGTGCTATGTAACAATTCAGCTAGTGTCCAAGTCAGCTAGAGAATTTAAAGGACTTATTTATAGTCAGTTAAATTAGTGATGAAATAGGTAGGAACGGCCTTAAAACCAGAACAGGAAGAAACAACCAAATAAAATTTAGTGTTGGGTTTTATGGAACTCAGAATTACAAATCACCCAAGTTCTGAACATGTGGAGTTACATGTGGTGTTAGAAATTTCTTCCTGGAGGCCGGGCGCGGTGGCTCAAGCCTGTAATCCCAGCACTTTGGGAGGCCGAGGCGGGTGGATCACGAGGTGAAGAGATCGAGACCATCCTGGTCAACATGGTGAAACCCCGTCTCTACTAAAAATACTAAAAATTAGCTGGGCATGGTGGCACGTGCCTGTAATCTCAGCTACTCAGGAGGCTGAGGCAGGAGAATTGCCTGAACCCAGGAGGCGGAGGTTGCGGTGAGCCGAGATCGCGCCATTGCACTCCAGCCTGGGTAACAAGAGCGAAACTCCGTCTCAAAAAAAAAAAAAAAAAAGAAAAAAGAAATTTCTTCCTGGAAATCCAGTGTCCCATCCAGTGTCCCTTCTGAATGTCCTTTTTTGTGTGTGTGTGTGTGTGTGTGTGTTTAAGAGGGAGTTTTGCTCTTGTTGCCCAAGCTGGAGAGCAATGGCACAATCTTGGCTCACACAACTTCTGCTTTCTGGGTTCAAGCAATTCTCCTGCCTCAGCCCCCCAAGTAGCTGGGATTACAGGCACCACCACACCTGGCTAATTTTTGTTATTTTTAGTAGAGACAGGGTTTCTCCATGTTGACCAGCCTGGTCTTGAACTCCTGCCCTCAGGTGATCTGCCCGCCTTGGCCTCCCAAAGTGTTGGGATTACAGGCATGAGCCACCACGCCCAGCTCAACGTCTTTATAAGAAAATCAGCTTTTTGCGCCACCTCCCCAACCCCACCCATAGAATTTCTTATGCTGTGCAACACAGAACTTCTATTCTCAGAAATACTTTGTATAGAGAAATCTATTTCTGCGGCGTTAGCTAACATTTATCTGAAGAAGCCATAGGAGAGTTGAAAGGGTTGCTGGTTGGTTTTGTTTTCTAGGTTTATTTTTGCACAATTTTCCTTGCACAGCTACAATCTTATCTGTGGAAAGAGGAAGAGACAGCATTTGCAGGGCTATTCGCTTCCTGTGCTCTCAGAAAAGAGTGAGGCAGAAAGAACCCCAAATAATCCACCATCACAGGCTGGCTTTTCTCATTTTATTCATGAACTATTTGAATTTAAACCACACAGGTCAAAATGACCAAAGAGTTGTTTTTTGTTTCTGTTTTTGTTTTTTTGTAGAGATTGTTCTTTTTAGGTTCAAGATACACAGGAATAGCAATTTGTACTGATGTTGCTACTGGTTTAAAGAAAGATCTCAGTTACCATCATCTGAATCGGTAAAATTAACGTTTCACACATAATAAGTTGCC